AATCAGAGCAGTTAATCAGTAAATGACAACAACATCAAAACAATAAAAGAGGGAATAAACGGCATAGGTATAGAATCTTCTAATGGAGAGGAAGGCAAGGCGATACCAAGCAATGGTAGACTGCTTCCAACTTAGAAAGATAAGAGTAAAATTTATGGTAACCACAAAGAAAGTTAACATACTCATAAAAAAAAATCTAAGTTGATCCATCAACAGAAGAATGGATAAACAAAATACGGTTTATACTCATACTGTTAAAAATAAAATTTTCACAATATTAGTGTATGAACTCGTAAGCTTTATTTTTCAGTTTGTTGCCCGATTAGGGTCTGTGACCTGGAGCAGCCAAGCCAATGAAACATACTCCAAGTCAGAAAGAGTGAGAAAGTTTTATTTAGGAGGTGTCCACCACCGGGGATCAGACAGCAACGCAGCCTGTCTCTATGGGGTCCCAAAGGGCATGTTTACATTAGAGCTTATATATGAATTTTACAAAGGTTTGAAATGTAGTTACTCATGACAAGGTAATTAAACGAGACTGTTTTATCATACTAAAGAGATACACGCATATCAGACATCTAGATTCTAATCTTCCTGTGGGAGGTGGTAAGCCACAGGTGGCCAGACAGAGCAAAACAAAGTCATTAACAAAGGTATGTGGAAAGGAGATGGCAAAGAAAAAAGAAGGGAAAAAAAAAAACTTATAGGTTCATCATGGTGTTAGTTATGTCAAGCTCTCAGTGGCCCATTTTGAAAAGGGGAAAACATGCTGAGGAGTATTACAGTCACACGTTCATGAACCAGGGAATATCTGGTCTGAAAGTCAGACAAGAATTCTGAAGAGCGGAACAGGTGAAAAGGCTTTTGTTAAAAGCAGACACACAGGAACAAGGAAGTATGCTAGCCAAGTTTCAGATTGACTGGCAGGCATTTTCTTTCCTTCTTTGGGATTAAGAGGTAATTTTGAACCAGGCTAAACTGAGCAGGCAAGTCCTAATTGACTAGCTTAGGTTTCTGTTTCCAGGAGAGTCAATTGGTTGACGTGGATTTCAGCTCCTGGGAAGGTTAGGCATTTACAAGAATTAGAAATTTAGGTTTTGGTTTGCTGACATGGAGCTCAGCATAAGTAACTCCATTTTGAGGCTAGTATAGTCAGGTTGGAGCCCTGGTGGTGCAGTGGTTAAGAGCTTGGCTGCTAACCAAAAGGTCAGCAGTTCAAATCCACCAGCCGTTCCTTGGCATTTGCATCACACATGCCCCTGGCCCCTCCCTGTAGACTGTCCACTTCTTAAGAGCAGGACTTCTGCTCTATTCATCTCCATCTTCCCATAGCACCTAACAAAGCACTCCCAACGGGCTTGTGACGTGTGCGCTGACACTGTCCAGTCTATTTTCTCCCAAAGCAGAGGTTGCGTGGAGGGCGTGTTGCAGAAGGACCTTCTCCTGGACACAACGTAACTGCACTATGTGTAGTGTGAAAATAACCAGCTGGTGCCTTAGGGTGTGAAATGCTATTTTTTTCCATGTTATCACCATCGAAGATACTAAAGACTCTATTTACATATGTTGCCTGTCCCCCAGTATAAGAATGTAAGCTCCACGAGGGCTGGGATTTTTGTCTGTTTTGTTCACTGCTGAACCCTTAGCCACTGAGGTATACATAGCAGGTACTCGGTAAACAGTTGTTGAATTAATTTGTTAGCTAGTTAATTAATTTGTCTCAGACAAGAGGAATGAGAGATCTCAAAAGAAAACCACCTTAGCCTGCTAATAGTTTGCATCAGAGCATGAGTAAGAGAAATGAAATAAAAGCTACTGGTGGTGCAGTGGTTAAGCACTCGGCTGCGAACCAAAAAGTCAGTGGTTTGAACCCTCCAGCTGCTCCACAAGAAAAAGATGTGGCAGTCTGCTTCCATAAAGATTACAGCCTTGGAAACCCTATGGGGCAGTTCTACTCTGTTCTATAAGGCCACTAGGAGTCGGGATCAACTCAACAGCGAGTTTGGGTTTTTTGGTGTGTTTTGTTTTGTTTTGTTTTGGAGAGGGCGTTTTAAATTGTCATACTAATACCAATTGCCAGATTCCAACTCATGGTGACCCCATGTGTGTCAGAGTAGAAATGTGCTGATTTTTTGGAAGTAGATCACCAGGCATTTCCAGATGGACTCGAACTTCCAACTTTTCACTTAGCAGCCAAGCACATTAACTGTATAAGGTCACTATGAGTCAGAATTGACTCAAAGGCACACACCACCACCACCCAAGGACTCCCAAATTGCCATGTTGTTGTTGTGTGCTGTCGAGTCCATTCCAACTCATAGCAACTCTATATGACAGAGTAGAACTGCCCCATAGGGTTTCCTAGGCTGTAACCTTTATGCAAGCAGATCTCCAGGTCTTTTCTTCCACAGAGCTGCTAGTGGGTTCAAACCGCCGACCTTTCAGTTAGCAGTTGAATGCTTAACCATTGTGCCACCAGGACTCCTAACTGCCACAGTACCCAGCAATTCTAGGATTCCCCAAATCCATCAACAAAAATCCCTCTCAAAATCCCGAGATTTGCCTAGCACATGTATGCCACTACCAAATGGGTATCTGTCCATCTGCAGATTGATGCACCCAATCCTCTGAGAGCAAACACAGCCACATGTCAGGATGCACAGTCACTTCTTCCAACTCTCCCTTCACTTCATCACTCTGGATGTGGAAAACGCCGAAGGGTAATGTGTTTTTGTTAGGGATACCCCAACTGAGTCCAGGCCAGTAAACTGCCTGGTTAATCGTATGGAAATAAAGTAGGGAGGAAAAAAAAGACACAAAGGCACAATGTGTTGACATTTTTTTTTAATATTTGGTATTTGTAAGTCTTTTTTAAAAAAATTATTCAGGTCATTTTTTCTTTAAAAAAAAAAAAAAAAGCAACCGACAGCAATACTCTGTACAAGTATAACAAACATTAGAAATATGCATCATTCCAAAATAGTTACAAGAAAATTACAGTTTTAGAGTCCACATCAACACTTCCTATTCATATGTGCCCCCGAGGGAGAGAAGCTACAGTATGTTAAACACACAACTGCTACACAGTAGTCTGAAAACTCAGAACTTGGACTTTTGAGGCAAATCAGCATCAGCCGCCAACACTTGTTTAGCTAAACAAGCACAATCAAGCATCTTAAAAAAAAAAAAAAAACCAGGCTTTTCCATACCAGATGAAATGCAAACATGAATCATCTGCATAGGAGACCCCACCCCAAGCTCCAGGGGCCTCTGACTTTTTGAAGCACAAATCCAGTGGAGTCAATTATGCCAAAGTCTGGCTGGAGGTCACTCTACGGCCACAGTGAACAGACCTCAAATGTCCATCACTAGGTTCTCCTATGGAGGCAAAAGTCTCTGCTCTTGGCAGAAGACATTAATGGCCCACACCAGCTGGCCACCAAGCTTAGGCCCTCTTGTTGCCACCGACCCCGCACTAGCTGCTTCTATGCATGGAGTTGCCAAATACTAACCAGGGGAGAGAAAACCATCCTCACAGGATTCCACTGGACTTTCCAAATTTCAGTTCATTGTTCCTAGGAGGGGTTTGGGGTGAAGCTCAGAAGCACCTTCCTCTTGCCTCTGGCCACTTCACCCCATGTGTCCTTTATATTTACACATGAATCTTCCCTTTTCTATCACTGTGCTATAAATACCCTCACCGCCCCACTGGCCCTGTCCCCAGTCCTCTCCAGGCCACAGAGAATCATCGTGACCTACGTGTGACCTGCCCATTGGAACTCTGGTCCTCACCACCACAAGCCTTCCTCCCAGCATTGCGGGTGATGTCCAAGAGTAGTTGGCTGGGGCCACTGCCCTCCCAAGCCCACACCAGGCCGAAGGGAGGACTGTTTCTGGATTTTGCTTTTTTTATACAACAAGCTTATATAATCAGTGTTGTTTTAATCGTTTGGAGGGCTTTCGGGGTCAAGTCCTTTCCTCTGAATTCCCTGCAGAGCAAACTCCCCATCTCCAGGGCAGAGAAGTGGACAGGGCTAAGCGTCTGCCTGGGATTTGACACTTAGAAGCCCATCACAATGGTTTCTAGACAAACTGCAGTGGGAGGGGTATGGCCCACAGGATCACTGAACAAAGTCATAGACCTCTCCTCAGAGATGTGCATGGGCTGAGGGTCAATCCACCGAATCCAGCTTCCCTCTCCACCCTAGGGACAGCATGGCTTCCCTGATTCAGATGTACAGAGCCAAAGCCTCCTCTGAAGTTGAGCCACAAGGGCTCCCCTAGCCTGGTCAGCCCAGTCCTTTAGGGGCCTGATACTGAATGAGCTGCTTGCTACCAAAGAAAGCCAAGGATTTAGCAAAAAGTGCAATTTCCACTTGGGAAGTAAGGTTTCCCCCAAAACATGAACACCTACCACATCTCCTTTTCATTCATTCAGTACCTCAAAGGGAAAGGGGGACAAAAGACATACAGCACTAGACCTCTGAACTGCATTGAGGGCTGTACGTATGCTGTGGTTCCCCCTTTATAACCCTAACATACCCATTTACATGTCCAGACAGTTATCAAAGTGCCAGTGAGGTGAGGAGCGTGGCAGCATCGGGAGATTGGTTCCCACAGACCAACAGTGACCAGGGGACTCGAAGAAGATCCAGATCCCCATTTTCAGTAGGACACATCTGTCCTAAGTTTACAGCAGGATTTAAGACTGTGGGAAATGGCCACAGGACTCCAGGGACTGGTTTATTCCTTCACAAGTCCTTGTATACTTCATTGACTGTTGGAGGATAAACTCAAAACTTCTTCAAAATATCACCTGAGCCACAATATAAAATAAAAAGAAAAAAATCCTTTCACGTTAATGCCTTAAGAAGTCTACAGATTATGTACCAGTAAAATAAATCCACATAAATTCTCAAAATTCTTGGTGGATATACACCTGAAGCCCAAAAAAAAAACAAAAAAAAAAAAATAATCTACATTTTTAAAAAATCAAAGTAATTACAGCAGCAGTATAGTGAAAAGAGGTTTTAAAAATAATAATTACATCTTTGATACAAATTCAAACTTTGTACACCTCAATTCTGACTCACACGAATGACTGTTTAGAGAGTTTAGTATATATATATATATATACTGTATATATATACATATACAGTAGATACCAATATGTGTCACTGCAGAGAGACTAAAGCCAGTGGATTCAGGGGAAGAAGGACTAATTTGACACTGTTTTCACACTGAAAGTGTTCAGACTGCCACGCTTTGAAACACACACGCACACACACAGAAACACACACACATAAAATGCCAACCTGAGTAAAACGTTACTAAAAACCTAGAGCATCATGAATCACTAAGTCACATATTGCACCTTTAAATAATCCTTACCAAATACAGAAATGAGAAAAAGGATAAAAAGAAGGTCAAGAAAAGGAGATTATGTCACCATAGGGTTCTTCTTCTTTCTCTGAAAATTCTCAAGTTGATACTTAGTTTCCACTCTAACCCAACCAATGGGCTGAAAATGTTGCCAGCACAAGAGTCTTTGGGGAAAAGTAGGAGGGAAAGGGGAAGAAAAAATGGAGCACAAGTATATGGGGGCAGGGGGAGCAGAGAGACCTCCTCTAATCAAACTAGAACAGGAATGTTACTGAGAAGGCAGAACCTTTGATATCAAACTACTGTTTAAATATTCCGTATATTCCAATTATGAGATTCAATACAAAAATATAGATTATCTACTGAGTTTTGCCTGTGGAAGCATAATTCAGAAAAGGCACATGTTCAGATAGAAAACTTATGTGGAAGAGGCACCACATACCCCTCCCTACATGTTAATCATCCACAATTAGGTATTTTCCATCAGCTAGATTCCCAGATACAGTAGGTAAAAATAGACCTCTGATACTTAAAATATATTCAACCCAACACAATCCTGGCTTTAGCATTTGAATCATATAAAATAGTCTTTTTTAAAAAGAACCTGTTTTAAAGAAAAAAAAAAAGAAGAAAAAAAAATTACAGCTCACTTTTCCTGGTTTTCCATAATCCTCAAGGAAAAAAAAAAAGCAAACTCATCCCATTGGTAATCAGGAACGCAGCTGATCTGCTCACCACCCATCCACAGCCCCTGCTCGCCCCAACTTCTCAACTGTCATGTCATATATGTGCAGCTTCACACCCTCAAAATTAGCTGGAACAAAACAGAACAAAGCTTTAAGATAGTAGACATATAAAAACATGTCAATAGCAGGGCGTTCTCCTTTGCTGTGGGTGTGACGGTCTGGTTAACTCCAGAAAAGGTTTTCCTTTGGAATCAGGCGATGTAACCATTTGTCTTTCCAAACCTGGGCCCTGGCATAAAATTTTCATAGATTGTCATTGCTGTTGTGTTCTGGTAGATGAGATCTACCTTTGAGTCCTTCCGGGATCGGATAATATCCAAAACACACTGATTGAGGAAAACATATTGGTCCTGATGGAACAAGGAAACAGAGGATTCAAATCAGCATGTGTCCCAGGGATGAGCCCCCAGGATCATTTTCTGACAGATCCCCCACCCCAACCCCATCCTCACCCAGCCAATAGCAAACACTTCAAGTTAACACGTCATGAAGTAATAACATTCTGGCGAAAGCTGAAATCACAGACAAACAAGAGCCTCTTCAAGATCTCTCAGCTGGAATATATGGAATATTTAAACAGTTATTTAGTATCAAAGATTCAGGCTTCTCAACCAGAAAGACATATTCCCCATCTCCTTTCCCCAAGGAGAGAGAAAGAAAGAATTTGGAGGGAAAAAATGGCCACACACATTCAAACAATAAAACGTCTGACAAAATTTTCTTGGCTAGTGAGGATATGCAGAATAAAAAATAAATTGTAATACTCCACAGAGCGGGGTGGCTAAAGGGGAGTGGTGACATAGAGTTGGGCAAGTATATCAGAATCTGAAGGTAGCTATTAAAAAGGAGGAAGATGAGGTATATGCTGACACACACAGTATCCATGATACTGCAAGAGAAAAAAATCATGGGGCAATAAAATAGGATCCAATTTTGTTAAAAAAAAAAAAAAAAAAGAACCAAACCCGTTGCCAACGAGTTGATTCCAACTCATCTAAATACTCCATATTTGTGTGTGAGTGTTTTTCTATATACATACACAAAGAGCCCTATAAGGATATGTCAAACTATACACTGGCTACTTCTAGGGAGTGGGATTGAGGAGGAAAAAGTAAAAGGGAAAACTATACTCTTTGTAGTCCTATATTGTTAAATTTTTTTCATATGAACAAGCATTACTTTCAAAATCTAAAAAAGGGAGGAGAAAAGAATTTATAGACAGGTATAAAGTTTCTGTGTTGTATAAAAGAGGATAAAAAACTGAGAAACACTCCTATTAACCCCATTGTCATCAAGTCGACTCCAACTCATAGCAACCCTATAAGACAGAACAGAACTGCCCATATGGTTTCCGAGGCTGTAAATCTTTACAGAAGCAGACTGCCACATGTTCCTCCTGCAGAGAGGCTGGTGGGTTCAAACCATCAATCTTTCAGTTAGCAGCCAAGCTCTTAACCACTGTTCTACCAGGGATTCTTTGAGAAACACTACTGTATATAATTACAGCAGAAAAAAGAAAATCTTTCTTCTGACCAATGTAGGAGGTGAATTCCACTCTTTCCACCACAACCATGCACTAATCCCAAAGCACACAATGTACCCAAGCCTCTAGAACATTCCCTGCTAGACTCAAAAACACTGGCACATACCCATAGAGCTCTAAAATGATACAGGGCGATAGCCTGATACAAAATTATTGTTCAGCTCTCATCCTGATTAAAGTACATTCACCCCTACGGCTTTGAGGAAGGCTACTCAATATATTCTGTTGAGACCATACCTCAAAAACACTCTTCATCACGGACATTTCAGGGAAGACCAAGTTCAATGGCCTTACACAAACAACACTGTGGATGTTAAGCATTCATTTTCTCAACTGGTCAGCAGTCCTCCTGTTATTATTGTTAGGTGCTGTGGAGTCAGTTCCAACTCATAGTGAGTCCTCCTGTAGCTATAATAATTTACCTTTGCAACACTGAAACATTTAAGCTGGTTTGAGGATACATTGCTGGATTAGTGCTTAAAGTAGCATTATTGTTAATGGTTGAAAAATGTGTTTCATTAGCTTATTTTTAAGGATGGTCAGATCTTAGAAACAAAGAATAAAAATGGCAATTTTATAAGTTTAAACTGGGAAATCAGAGTTCAGAAACTTGCTAAAATTATTTGATGAGCCAGTGGCAGCAAGTTAAAGAATCTGGATACTATCTTGGTGTCATAGATTGAACTGTGACTCCACAAAATATCTGTCAACTTGGCTGGGTCATAATTCCCAGTATCATATGATTGCATACCATTTTGTAATCTGATGTGATTTCCTTATGTGTTATAAACTCTATCACTATGATGTAATAAAATGGATTAGTGGCAGTTATACTGATAAACACTACAAGATTGGATAGTGTCTTAAACCAATCTCTCCTGAGATATAAAAGAGAGAAGCGAGTAGAGACACACAGGAACCTCACACCACCAAGGGAGCAGCGCTGGGAGCAGAGCACATCCTTTGGACCTGGGGTTCCTGTGCTGAGATGCTCCCAGACCAAGGGAGGACTGACGCATCACAAGGACCTTCCTCTAGAGCCGACAGAGAGAGAAAGCCTTCTCCCGGAGCTGATGCCCTGAATTTGGACTTGTAGCCTAGTGGGCTGTGAGAGAATAAACTTCTCTTTGTTAAAGCCATCCACTTGTGGTATTTCTGTTACAGCAGCACTAGATGACTAAGACACTTGGTTTGTTGCTCCGTTACTGATACCACTATTACTACGTCGCTGTATGCTGCTGGTGCTGTTAGCTGCCGTTGAGTCAGCCCCAACTCACGGCAACCCCATGTACAATGGAACGAAACATCACCCAGTCCTGGACCATCCCTGTGATTGGATGCAGATCAGACTACAGTGATCCACAGGATTTTCACTGACTGATTTTCAGAAGTAGATCACCAGGCCTTTTTTCCTAGTCTATCTTAGTCTAGAAGCTCTGCTCAAATCTGTTCAGCATCACAGCAACACACAAGCCTTCACTGACACATGGACGGTGGCTGCACATGAGATGCATTGGCCAGAAATTAAACCCAGGTCTCCCACATGGATGGTGAGAAATCTACCACTGAACCACTAATGTATCATATGTATAGGATAATTCAATTTCAAGTCAATTCAGGGTCTATAAAGGAAATCCAGTGTTACCTCACAGTCAAGAGTCAGAAAGATCTGGAAGGGCGAAATATTTTAACACAAGTGTATGACATGATGAAACCTTTTGAAAATGGTAAGGAAGGGTGGACTACTGAACACAGATCTTGGCCTCACCTCTGTTTGCACCATTAAAGGCCTGTGCATTCGAAGGTCATACACAATCCCGTACACATCCACGGTGTTCTCATTCTCTATCTGATAGATAAGACGATCAATGGCAATGAAAGTGCCTGTCCTTCCAACCCCAGCACTGAAAGACAGAGGAAATAAGCATATCACAATGGGTTACATCTACCATTAAACTCCCAACTTTCCCCTATGCAGATATAATTGCTCCCTTTCTAAACCAACTACAGCAGGTTGTGGGTTCCTCTCCTATGGAAACTCCATGAATGCCATCTGTAAATACATTCTGATCTCCTCCACTATCACACTAGACTGCAAGGTCTCTGAGGGCAATGCCCAGGGCCATTAAACATTTGCTCATCTGAAAAGACTTGCCTCAGCTACTCAGACTGCACTGGCTTGGGACTGGGGCTCAAGGGCCAAACTTACTGTTGAGTCAAATGCCACAAATAGAACACTTCCCTAGAGCTTCTCGATCCTCAGTTCCATTCAAGAAAGCCCTTCCTTCCTTCTGTCCTAAATTGATTCTTTTTGCTTTAAAGCTAATTTCTTATTGTTCTAGAGCAGGAGTTGACAAACTTTTCTGTAAATGGCTAGAAAGTAAATTTTTTTTTGGTTTTTCAGACCATACAGTCTTGGTTGTAACTACTCAACTCTGCCATTGTAGCATGAAAGCAACCACAGACTATACATAAAGGAAAGAATGGGCATGACCGTGTTTCAATAAAACTATTTACAAAAACAGGCAGCTGGCCAAATTTGGCCTATAGGCCATTGTTTGCCAACATCTACTCTAGAGTCTCAGCGCTTAGTAAGCACTTAGTCCCTTATCCATGCTGTTGTCACTAAAACCGCTGTCAAGTCGGCCCCGACTCACGGTGACCCCATGCACAATGGAATGAAATGCTTCCCAGTCCTGTGCCATCCTCATGATCTGTTGTAGATTGGACCATTGTGATCCACAGGATTTTCACTAGATGACTTTCAGAAGTAGGTAGTAGAAGTAGTCTTTCTTCCTAGTCCATCTTAGTCTAGAAGTTCTGCTGACACGTATTCGGCATCATAGCAACACGCAATGACAGACAGGTAGTAGCTGCACACGAGGTGCACCGGGCAGGAATCCAACCCAGGTCTCCACATGGGAGGGGAAAATTCTACCACTGAACCACCATTGCCTCCTCCCTTATCCATACCTTTCTTAAATTTGTAAATGCCTATTAAATTCCCTCTTATTCCTTGCTCTTCTAACGTGCTCATAGATCTATACCTTATATGTTCAATCTGCCACATTAAAACCCCAAGGACCCCAAACACAGAGACTGCCATCTGCACACCTGCAATGCACCAGAATGGGTGTCTCAGGAGGACTCTGGGTCACATAGTCACGAACCAGGTACCGGAAGCTGATGAGCAGGTCAGTGGTTTCGGGAACACCGTGGTCTGGCCAGGAGGTGAAATGGAACTGTCGCACAGGGTGACTCTCCCTTGTCTGGACCTAGAAGCCAAGGACAGGGGTTTGATTCAGAGAGAAAGGCTGCGTAACACATCAAAAAGAGTGAAAGTCAAGCAGCCGCTCAATACTGAACTGCACAGGATAGATGAAAGGCAGCTAACGGACTCAACATTAGAATTTGACGGGTTACATGCCCATCAAAAAATACCAGTGTCATTTCATGGCACTGCCTCTATTTTCAAGCACCCTTGAAAAAAGAAAAAGAAGCATGCATAGCCTGACTTCCTGGAATGCCTACACAATTTACTTGGATTTCTTTCAGTAACTTTTTTTTTTTTTTTTAATGTTTAGATTTTTTTTTTTTATTGTGCTTTAAGTGAAACTTTACAGCTCTAGTTTCTCATACAAAAATTTATACACATATTGTTATGTGACCCTAGTTGCTATACCTATAATGTGACAGCACACTCCTCCTTTCCAGTCCAGATTTCCCGTGTCCATTCAACCAGCTCTCGTCCCTTTCTGCCTTCTCATCTTGCCTCTGGACAGGAGCTGCCCATTTAGCCTCGTGTATCGACTTGAACTAAGAAGCACACTTTTCACAAGTATCATTTTATGTCTTATAGTCCAGTCTAATCTTTGTCTGAAGAGTTGGCTTCAGGAATGGTTTTAGCTCTGGGTTACCAGAGAGTCCGGAGGCCACATCTTCAGGAGTTCCTCCAGTCTCAGTCAGATCTTTTAGTAACTTTTGGGGAGAAGGGAAGCCATGTGCACATGCCCTGAAATCCAGTTAATATAACTGTTATCATTAACTCCCCCCAAAGCAAATGGCCACTTCTGATGCTACATTTTCTACCAACAACCAAAAAGGCATTGGTTTGCAATGAAAACTCTGAGCACTTCACCTGGAAGTAGAGGGAAGGAAAGAGTTAGGGATACAGAGCCATGCTCTTAAGGTTCATTTTATTCAAGAATAACTTAGGAAATTCGCCTCAAGAAAGTAAAGCTAAAGGGTTGTCTTGAGGTGTCTGTAGGTATAAATTATTTTATTCTGTGAAGAAAGCAAACATCTATTTCTGATGCATAAAAAAGTGTCACCCTAAAATTAATACGGTCATTTTCCATTTCAGGTCCCTGGGTGGTGCCCTCAACTGCTAACCTAAAGGCTGGAGGTTCGAACCCACTAAGCAACATCGTGGAAGAAAAGGCCTGGCAATCTGCTTCTGAAAGGTCACAGACTTGACAACCCTATAGAGCACAGTTCTACTCTGTAACACATGGGGTCATCATGAGTCAGAATCAACTCAACGGCAACTAACCACATATGAAATTTATCCACCTTGACCTCTTACTCACATTTTTGACTGTGAAATCTCTGATGGTCCATTCCGGATGAATAATTTCTGATGACATTGCCACAGTTATGTCCCCGTAGTCCTGAGCCTCCTTGGAGGGCCAATACTCCTCACATTTGGTCTAGAATAAGATTACATTTTTATACAAAGACGCAGATCACACCATCTGCCATACGCTGAAACTTCACAAAAATAGACCAGATATTGAAAACTGGTATTGGGGCCAAATGAGTTCCTTAGTCGGTTTCAGTGAATTGTTTTTTAATTTACAGTTCTTGCCAACTTTTTTTTTTTTTTTTGTGCGTTTTAAAAAAATCCAGATTTCTGGCTTCTCTGGAAAAATCAGGAGGTCAGGCAACATTGGGCCCACATTTCTGCACGGAAACCAGTTTAGATTTAGAGTGGAACAGCTGCCTTATCTGGAGCCCTGATAGCGCAGTAGTTAAGACTTGGCTCAGCAGTTCAAATCCACCAGTCGCTCCTTGGAAACCCTATGGGGCAGTTCTACTGGGTCGCTATGAGTCAGAATCCACTCCAAGGCAATGGGATTTTCTGGTTTGCTCCAAGAAAGAACACAAGACGACCTGGACACACACTGACATGAGGCTGATCCCCACCTCTGACTCTTACCAGCTACCTTGTAGGCAAGTTCTTAAACTCCTGAGCCTCAGTTTCCCCATGTACAAAATGATAACACCTCACAGGGATGTTGTGGGGAAGAAAATAACATATATAGAGTACGAAGTACATAAAAGCTACCCAGAATATATGCTAGTTCCCTTCTCCTTTCACTCAGCATCAGTAATACCCACTTCCACCCTGACTTAAGATGAGCAGTGGCCCATCTAAATTCATCTTCATGTCTTCCATTAATTTCACCACGTCATTTTCATTTGTTTAACAGATATTTATGAGCATCTTCCATGTGCTAGGCTCTGGGCTCAACAGCACCATAAAGCTGATGTGCATTCACAAAGCAATGTTCTTTTATTTCCATAATAGCTTGTTCTCCTGATGCACAAAGGGCACACAGAACCCAACTCTTTCTGTCTCACAAGCAACATAGAGACGGGAACCATCTCTTACAATTCTTTCCCTCCTTCTTCCCTAGCACAGGAACATACTTGGTGCTCAATAAACATCTACTCAATTAAGGTGAAATAAAGAACACTAAAGGAAATTATGCCTGCTAAAAGTGTGGAACCTAGACCAACGCCATCAGCATCACCTAGGGATTGTCAGAAATGCAATTCTGGGGCCCCACTCCAGATCTTCTGAATTAGAGACTCTGGGGAGGTAAAACCACCCTCCAGTGATTCTGGTGCCTGTTAAAGTTTGAGAACCACTGGTTTAGGGAAGGGATTCTTATCCTATTCCTCAAGTAATGAACCTACATGAAAAAATTCACCAAGCAACGTTGGGTCCCATTCCTCCAGCACAGAATTCTTGAAGTTATCGTGTGTTTTTCAATTCTCCTTTCATCCATTTAAGGAAATATGGAACTTTATTACCAGAATAAATCTTATTTTTGATGAAAGTGGTGGGGTGGGGCAGCCGGTGGGTGGGGGGTGGGGGTGATGGTTCCAGGCCATCACATAGGTGGAAGGGGTGGCTGAGACTTACCTAGGGATAAGTCTGAGATTTTGTTTAACGAAAGGTGCAGTGCTAAAAACTAAGTTTGAAAATCACTGAGTTGTTTGAATCTCTCCTGTCACAAATGAAGCAGCTGGTTGCTGAGACACAAGATGGGCTTGTGCTCACACAGCTGATAAGGGACGGAGCTAAACAGTAAGCAGCATTTTCTTGCTTGGACCCTGGGAGTTTTTCTACTGCACTAACCCAACTCCTGCTATTTAAGAACTCCAACTGCAGCAATTCAGGAATAGAGAACATTGGTGTTTGTTCACAAAGAAAGGCAATAACAAAGTAGTTTTTTTTTAACTTTTCTTTTATGGGAGACAGAAAATAAGTTTCTAAGAATAGAGGTACAAATGTTTGGGGGAGTGTTTTTTTAAAAAAGACAAGTGTTTTTAAGATACTTACCCTTCCCTGTTCAACACATTTGGTCAACATAACAATGGCGTACACATTTTTCTCCCAAACCATACGCCAAAAATCTTTCAAAGTGTTGGGTAAAGGTCCTTGCATGGCAATAAACTCTTTCTTGGAATGGTAGCCCTAAAAATGGAAAGCAATACATATTAACCCAAAAAACCAAGTGGAGCTCTGAAGATTTTATCCTAACAAACTGGTGCTATGGGAATATCTCCCCCCTTACAGGCATGTAGTTTGCATTGATGTAGTCATCAGTTGAATGTGTCTGGACTGAAAGTTTGACACGGGAAACATCATCTGTAACATTAAAAGAAAAAAAAACTCATTAGAAGCAAATGTTTTAGGAAAGTTGCACACACGAGAGGAAAAAAAAGAAGTATAAAATGGCAACACTGGGCTTCTATCACACCTTAAATGTGCATAGCTTGACATTTTACAGCCATGGCCTCATACTCCCTTCTCTACTGTTAGGGATGTGATGGCTAGTGACAGAGAAAAAGGGAAGATAATATGGATAAAATAACTTACAGGGCAGAACATTATTATAGCGATTCTTCCCTCTATTCTCAGCCAGTTCAGCTGCATATTTAGGTTGACTAATTCCAACAAGCTTCAGGTCCTGAAAACAAAGTGAGTTGTTCATTTAGTCTTTAGATATTATTTGTTGAGCACAGAGTATGACAGAACAAATGAAATACATAAATTAAAAGAAAAGAAAATCAGTTCAGAGGCTTAGGGTCATGGTTTTGAGGGACATTTCAGTCAATTGGCCTAATATTTATTTCGGTGCCTCTGCTCTACCTCTGTTGTGTAGTGCCTGAAGTCTTAAAAGTTTCAGAGCTGCCATCCAAAGTACAATTGTTCTCCATTCACTGGGAGCACCAGAGGAGGGAGGGTCAGGAATCAGTGGAGGAAATGGAATATGTGTCTAATCACCTCCACGAACAACTGCCTCCTTTGCCATGAGCTCAGAAGAACTGGATGGTAGCCAGCTACCATTACAGAATATTCAGATCAAAGATTCTATAGCTGAATCATGATCAAAAGGGGGGAAATGAGAAACATAATTTAAAATTCTCACGGAATCTAAAATTTCTGGAGCCACTGAGGCTGGATGACCACCTGAAACTATTACCCTAAGGAAATCTTTAAACCTTGAACTGAAACTATTCCCTGCAGTCATCTTTGAACCAAATGACAGTTTATTCTAATTAGAAAAGAATGTCTGCATTAAGCATGGTACACTTTTAAAGTATGTGATCAAACTGACAAAACAACTCAAAAGGTTAGATAAGAAGCTTAGATGGGCAGTGAGTTGGTGTTAATGATGGTGAAAAGAGTTTGGAAAAGGTTATCAAGAAAGGTAGCACAACTTGAAGAATGTAACTGACGTGACTGAATTATACCTGTAGAAATTGATGAAGTGGTATATGTTTTGTTGTGCATATTTTCACCCAAAGATAAATAAATAAATTTTAAAAAAGAAAAGGAAAAAATAATCCTTGCCTTCAAGGAGCCTACAACTTGGGGCATGAAGTTGGGGGGAGGGGTGCAGACAGAAATAACTAATGTTACTACAAGACAGAATTAAACAAATGCTGATTAGTAAACAAGACGCAAGTCAGAGATGAAACAGAGCAGTCGTCTGAGGACACAGAAATCAAGTCCTCTAATGGGATCAGAGAAAATGACATGGAGGAGACAAGGTGTGAGGTGTGTTTTAAGTGGTGTAGTAGGTTGAATGGTGGCCCCCAAAAAGTATGTCCACATCCTAATGCCCAGAACTTGAGAAAGTGGCCTTATGTGGAAAAAGAGTCTTTGCAGATGTAATTAAGGATCTTGAGATGAGATCATATCTGGGTGGACCCTAAATCCAATGACATGTCCTTACAAGAGACACGCTGAGCAGCGACACATAGAGAAAAGGAGATAGCCATGTGAAGATGGAGGCAGAGATTGGAGTAGTATAGCCACAAGGCAAGGAATGCTAGAAGCTACCAGAAGCTGGGAGAGATAAGAAAGGATTCTTCCCTAGAGCCTTCAGAGGGCCCTGCCAACACTTTGATTTCTCGCTTCTGACCTTCAGAACTATGAGAGAATAAACTTCTGTTGTTTTAAGCCACCAGATTAGTGGTAATCTGTTACAAGAGCCCTAGGAAACTAATACAAGTGGTAAGTAGGATTTCAATAAAGAGAACGATGCCACAGCAGGGGCAGCACATAAAGGACGAGTATGCACAGCTGATTCTGAGCAAGGTTGTTCCCGGGCAGTCTGGGGTAGAGCATACGATGGCCTGAAAGGCAGAAACCCGCCAAGGAATGCCTCCTACAGGGTTTCATGTAATCTTCATGGGTCAACACCAACCACACAGTCATCCAGCCCCAGACCCCAAAGTACCCCATCTAGTTTATTTCCAGCTCATATAGCTTCCTAATTACTCTAGTTGATAGTCCCTTAGCTTGAATTCTCACTCTCTATACTCTCTGCTAATCTTCAGATATCAATAAGATTAAACACATACTCCACTAGAAGTAGGTTTCCTGAGTGGCACAAATAGTTAAGCACTCCACTACTAACAGAAAGGCTGGTGGTTCAAACCCACCCAGAAGCACCTGGCAATCTGCTTTAAAAAGGTCACAGCCATAAAAACCCTATGGAGCAGTTAGTTCTGCTCTGCACACATGGGGCTACCATGGGTAAGAATCTACTCAGGGCAACTAGCAACAGCCACCACTAGAACCACAGTCGACACGGCCACAGTGGGGCTCCAGGAATATGCAAGAGCATCTCTCCTGGCTCTGAGAGGGTCTCTCTCCTCTTACCCAAAACGGCATCATTAAAACCAAAATGGGAAGTTTTCCAACTTTCCAGAAAAACACACTATAAGGCAATTAAGAACACACGACTGACAACCACTTACCTCATATTCTTCTGCAAACCCACAGTTGGAGTCAGCTTGTTGTTTCTTAAAGTAGGCCTCAAAATTCTCCACTTTGATCAACTTGGATCTAAGGAAACAAAACAACTTATGAGGAGTTTTTGCATTTAATAAAGTTCATATCAAAATAGAAAAATACAAGTGGTAAAAAAATTTTTTTTTTTTTACTCACTTTTTAGGTCTTTATCACAGAAAGGGAAAGAAAACAAACAATTAGAAACATTGACTCAATCATGACTTTGGAGATAATAGTAAACATCTTCCCAAAAGAACAAAACCAAGAGTATAATTTGGGAGGGGCCAGGCGAGGTCACTGTAATCTTATTTACAAAACAGTGATATACGTAGGAGATTCGATTTCTAGACCAAGTTATGTAGCTGACTGGCTTTATAACTTTAAGTTCCTCTATCCCTCTAGATCTTGGTAACCCATTTATTAAAAAAAAAAAAAAAAAAAAAATGTAATCCCATCACAAAATATACATTTGTCAGTAGAATATGGCAAGGAAAACAGCTCCAGGAAACTAATAAAACATAAACTCCTTGCAGAATAACAGAGCAACAATCTTCAGATGATTATGGGTAAATGTGTCAATCAGGAGAAATGACAGATGTTCCATAAAAAATTCTTCAGATGGTCACTGAACAGACTGGGGGATTAAATATCTTAAAATAGAGCTCTCACAGGTACTTACTTAATTTGAGAAAAGGACATTTCATTGTTCTTTTCATCTTTCCTGTTTGAAAGAAAAAAAGACCCATTAGACAAAAAGGTTAATTCTGTGTTTTCCCCCTTTCATGGACATTATATATTTACATATGTTGTTTTTCTGTTTTTGATTAGTTATTTATCTCTGCTCTGATCTTTGTTCAGGCTTAGTTTGCTCTTCCCTTTCTAGTCCCTCAAATTGTCAAGTTAGGCTACTGAACGTTGAGATCTTTCTCCTTTTATCATGTAGGCATTCATTGCTATAAGTTTGCCTCTGAGTATGGCCTTCACTGCATCCCTTAAGTTTTGGTATCTTCTACCTTCAATTTCATTTGACTCTGAGAAATCTGTAATTTATCTTTTAATTTCTTCCTTGACCCACTGGTAGTTTAACAGTGCATTGTCTAATTTCCATACGTAATGGGAATATGGGGCTCATTATACTATTGCTTGCACTTTGGGGAATGTTTGATATTTTCCATAACAAAAAAGCTTCCTTAAAAAGTAGGATATTTACCAACAGCATTCTTTACCGAGATGGAAAAACTAATCATTAACTTTATATAGAAAGGATAGATGATCCAGATAAGGAAAACATTACTGAGAAGAAGAACAAAGTAGGAGGCCTTGCATTACCCAACCTCAGAACCTACTATACAGCTATGGTAGTCAGAACAGCCTGGTACTGGTACAATGACAGATACACTGGCCAATGGAACAGAATCAAGAACCCACATGTAAATCCATCTACCTATGGCCACCTGATCTTTGACAAAAGTCCAAAGTCCATTAAATGCAGAAAAGACGGTCTTTTTAACAAACAGTGTTGGCAAAACTGGATGTTCATCTGTAAAAAAATGAAACAGGACCCATATCTCACATCACACACAAAAACTAATTTAAAATGGATCAAAGACCTAAACATAAAACCAAAAACTATAAAGATCATGGAAGAAAAAACAGGATCAACGCTAGAGGCCCTAATACACAGCATTAACAGGATATAAACCATAACTAACAACACACAAACTCCAGAAGATAAGCTAGATAATTAGGATCTTCTAAAAATTAAAGACTTATGCTCATCAAAAGACCTCACCAAAGGAGTAAAAAGAGAACCTACAGACTGGGAAAATTTTTTGGCTATGACATATCCAACGAAGGTCTAATCTCTAAAATCTACAGGAAAATCCAACACCTCTACAACAAAAAGACAAATAATCTAATTAAAAAATGGGCAAGAGATATGAACAGACACTTCACCAAAGAAGACATTCAGGCAGCTAACAGACACATGAGGAAATGTTCGAGATCACTAGCCATTAAAGAAATGCAAATCAAAACTACAACGAGACACCATCTCACCCTGACATTACTGGCATCAATCAAAAAAACAGAAAATAAGGAGTTCAGTGACAAGGGCCAGAAGGCAGAAGGGGACAAGGAAGCTGGTGATAGGGAACACAAGATTGAGTAAGGATATTGTTGATGTGTTGTGAGATTGTTAACCATTGTCATAGGGCAACATTTGTAGTAAGTGTTAAATGAGAAACTATTTTGTTCTGTAAGCCTTCATCTTAAGTGAGAATAACAGCACAATTGGAAGAGCATAGTCTATGTCACTGAAATGTGTATGTAGAAATTTTTGAAATGGTGTATCTTTGGCTATGAGTATTTTCACCAAAAAAAAAAAAAAAAATGGTTGAGAAGTTAGAAGGTTGATATGTAGTGGGGTTGTTAACCAATGTCGTAAAACAACGTGTACTACTGTTTCATGAGAAACTATTTGTTCTGTAAGCCTTCACCTGAAGTACAATAAAATATAAAAAAAAAATGGGAAAACTAGATATTATGCCCCTCCTGGTGTGATGCAATGTGAAGTACACAGAACCACCTATAAAGTATTTTTGCCAATAAAAGTTAAACCTGAAAAAAAAAAAAAAACAGAAAATAACAAATGTTGGAGAGGTTGTGGGGAGACTCTATGTACTGCTGCTGGGAATGCAAAATGGTACAACCACTATGGAAAATGATATGGCGACTCCTTAAAAAGCTAGAAATAGAAATATCATAGCATCCAGCAATCTCCTAGGAATATATCCTAGAGAAGTAAGAGCCATCACACAAAGAGACACACAAACTCACATTCATTGCAGTGTTATTCACAATAGCAAAAAGTTGGAAACAACGTAAGTGCTCATCAACAGATGAATGGATGAACAAACTATGGTACATACATACAATGGAATACTATGCAACAATAAAAAAAACAGTGATGAATCTGCAAAACATCTCACAATATGGATGAATCTGGAAGATAGTATGCTGAGTAAAATAAGTCAATCACAAAAGGACAAATACTGTATAAGACCACTATTACAAAAACTCATGAAAAGGTTTACACACAGAAGGAAACAATCTTTGATGGTTACAGGGAGAGGAAGGGTGGGGAGGAAAAAACACTAACTAGATAGAAGGTAAGTGGTAACTTTGGTGAAGGGTAAGACAGTATACAATACTGGGGAAGTCAGCACAACTTGACCAAGGCAAAGTCACAGAAGCTTCACAGACACATCCAAATGCCCTGAGGGACTGAGTTATTAGGCTAAAGGCTGGGTACCACTGTCTTGGAGAACATCTAGCTCAATTGGCATGACACAGTTTATAAAGAAAACATTCCACATCTGACTGTGGTTAAGTATTAGTGTCTGGGGTCTTAAAAGCCTGCAAACAGCCATCCTAGCTACATCTACTGGTCCCATCCCAGCTGGAGCAAAGGAGAATGAAGAAAACCAAAGACACAAGGGAAAGGTTAGTCCAAAGGACTAATGGACCACAACTACCACAACCTCCACCAGACTGAGCCCAAAACAACTAGATGGTGCCCAGCTACCACCACAAACTGCTCTGACAGGAATCACAATAGAGGGTCCCTGACAAAGCAGGGAAAAAAATGTACAAAATTCAAACTCACAAAAAAAAAAAAGACTTGCTGGTTTGACAGAGACTGGAGAAATCTCAAGAGTATGGCCCTAGACACCCTTTTAACTCAGTACTGAAGTCACTCCCAAGGTCCACCCTTCAGCCAAATATTAGACAGGTCTATAGGGCAAACAATAACACATGTGAGGAATGTGCGTGCAAACTTGAAGAACATGCCTCACAGTTCAATCATGTATACAAGACTAAATGAGCACACAGCCCAAAAGCAGAGATGAGAAGGGAGGAAGGGACAGGGAAACTGGATGAATGGGAACAGGAAACCCAGGGTGCAGAAGGGCAGAGTGTGGACATATCGCAGGGCTGGCAACCAACGTCACAAAACCATTTGTATACTGCTAATGAGAAACTAATTAGCTCTATAAACTTTTACCTAAATCACAACAAAAAATAAATAACAAACAAAAAGTAGGATATTATTATTAACATGGAGTTCCTAGGTAGTGCAAATAGTTAACACGTGCAGCTGCTAACTAAAAGGTTGGGGGTTCAAGTCCACCCAGAGATGTCTCGGAAGAAAAGCCTGGTGACCTAGTTCCGAAAAATCAGCCACTGAAAACCCTACGGAACACAGTCCTACTCTCACACACGAGGCCACCATGAGCTGGAACTGACTTGGAAGCCACTGTTTGTTTATTTATTCTTATTAACATAAGCAGTCATCAGTCACCTTTTATTTCTCCAGAAGATGAAGCCTCCCACAGCCACAACCAGGGCACCAAAGATACAGCCAAACACTGCTCCACAGATGACACCTGGGAAAAGCCCAAACAGGAGGCACGTCAGGAGGGTTCACACAGGAGCACATGCTGCACGAACGACCAGCCCAGGATCCCACGCACTAAAATTCACAGATGCGCCTGGCACATGGGCACAAATGACTATACTGAAATAAAAGGACGAAACAGTTTTTGCAGATTCTAAGTGCAACAGGCATTCAGAGATGAACAGTGGTGGGGGGGAGCAGGAAGGAGTGCTGTCAGTGACCTCAGGGGAGGAAGCAGAACTGAGCCATGGAGGCCAAGTGACATCTTAACTTCCAAGAGGGGAGAGCTGGCATGTCAACCCTCCTGGGCGCCCAGGGAAGGAATAGAGACACTGGGCCTTCTATGGACACAACTCAAGGAAAAACCCCCTGAATTGCAAAGAGCACTGTTGTTTTTCCTCTACCTGGATCCTGGGGCAAGTCAATGGCCTTTGAATATTCACTGAAGGACACATAGCTCCGGGTTCCATTTATGAGTCCACAGTTTTGAGGGCAGTTAAAGACAATTTTGGTGAAACCAGCCACAGATGCCCTGTGAGAGACAAAAAGAAAAAAGAGGCGGCTGAGATGTATCCAATGCCCCAGGCATGTAGAGCTTTGTACTCACGGGGCTCAGCCCCTCAAAGAGCAGAAATCAGACAACATTACCGGTAGGAGCTGAGAGGTTCCAACTTCCCGTTGCGATAGCCACACGTGGTTGACTCATTGCCGACATCAATTTCATATTTCAAGACTTCAGACAAGCCCTGAGAATAATTCTCGTCTGTTGTTATGAGGTATGTCACATAAGTATCTGAGGCCTCCTTTTTGAAATCTTCATATGTATATTTCAAAACATTTGGTGATGGACGCTTAGCTAAGAAAGGCATGCAGAAATCATAAGAAAGTGATGGCAGACAGTGATTTAAAATCACATACATTATGAGATGCATATAAATAATGATGGTGACATGGGGATAACGGTAACAGTGACCATCTCTCAGTGTCCTCTCTGTGCCAGGCGCTGTTCTAAGTGCTTTACTGATATCAACTCATTTAACCCACACAATAATGTCATCACGGAGGCTTATGGTTTGTTTGTTGCCATCGAGTCAGTTCCAACTCATGGTGACCCCATGTGTGCAGAGTAGAACTGCTCCATAGGGCTTTCAAGGCTGTGACCTTTTGGAAGAAGATTGCCAGCCCTGCCTTCTGAGGCACCTCTGGGTGGATATGAACCACCAATGTTTCAGCTAGGTTTATTATTCCCATTTTACAGATGAAGAAATGAAGGCATAGGAAGCTAAAGGACCTCGCCCATGGTCACACTGCCTATGAGGTGGAACTGGATTTCTAAGCCAGACCATCTGCCTCAGAGCCTGTGGTCTCATTTACCAAGGCTGTGGAAGCTTCCGAGGCAGAGAAAGAGGAAGCCGAATGCTTGAGCCCCCATGTGGTAAGAGGCGGAGCAGGGGTCTGACCATTACACACACTGCCTCTCTCATTCAGCAAAGGTCTGATCCTGGGAGGTGCTGAAAACCATCGCAGCAAAATGACTAAGAGCTTGACACATACCCAAAATAAAAAGACAGGAAGAGAGAGACCTCAACATCACTTTTTGAAATTTTCTGCAGATCCACGATCCCAGCCAATTCCTCATCTTCCAGGGACCCCCATTCCTCACCGTGCATGTGATCTCACCCTTAATCAAGACCAGGACGGCACATGGGTTGAGCGACTGAGCACAGAAGGCACTGCCTCATTCACATTTAGTTTACAGAATCACCAAAAACAACAAAACTTGGCATTTTAGACCTAGGCCTTGTGTGAGGCACCCACATGCAGAAAACCTCGAATCATTCCCTTTGTATTGCCAGAGAATGTAATGGAACCCTTTAAGGAGAAGCAGCTTTAATCCATGGAGATGCTCTTTTTAAATTCACACTAATGAATGCAAATCATCTTCTACTTCAAGAGAAAGTCATCCTCTGGGGATGACTGTGACTGTTGTGAGTGTGTGTGTGTGTGTGTGTGTGTGTGTGAGACAGAGAGAAAGAGAGAGACAGAGAGAAGGTTGGTTAAGACTAATATTCTACCAACTAGAAGATCCTGTGTTGTAAGAGAGGGAAAACCCAGTTCAGAGGTCAGTAAACTATGACCCATGGGGCAAATGCAACCTACCACCTGTTTTGGTAAGTAAAGCTCTACTGGAACACAGCCACCTTCATTCTTTATGTATTGTCTATAGCCTGCTTTCAAGGTCCCCAGGTGGCTGGCTCCTAAGCTAAAGGTTGCCAGTTTGAACCCATCCAGCAGCACTGCAGAAGGAAGGCCTGGCAATCTGCTTCCAAAAGGTCACAGTTACGAAAACCCCATGGAGCACATTTCTACTCTGCACACACAGGGTCGCCATGAGTCAGAACCAACTCGACAGCAACGGGCATGGCGGTTTTCATGTTACAACAGCAGAGCTGAATCACTGCATCAGACACTATATGGTCTGCAAAGCTTAAAATATTTGCTATCTAGCCCTTTGCACAAAAAGTTTGCTGAACCAGATCATCAAGCAAATCGCTCCAGGGTCTGAGTACCAAAATGTGGGCTACAGAGTAAAAGAGAGACATATATTTGTATCGTTAATATGTCTCAGTGGGCACAGAAATGGCAGCCGGTCACGGCATCACTCACTGGTTACCCTGACCGGACCCCCCCTTACCCTTCCCGGTGGTGAGAATGAGAGCGTAGGCTTTGATCGGTCCATGGCTGTCATTAAACTCACTGAACGTAACCTTTATTGAATTATGACTGACAGGCGTGATGACAGGGGCTTCAGCTGGAGGAGGAGGGTCTGAAACAAAACAAAACAAGACATGGTCACCCGACATTTGAAAGTCAGAGAAAATTCTCCTTAAGATCGCTCCTCCCCGGAAGCTATGTGCTCGGCTCATCCAAAGCAAATCCAGAAGTAAGGGGCAGAGGAGGAAACTGGTGGGGAAAAGAGACAGTGGATCCCTCGGGGAGCTAGCCTAGTCCACAATGACCCTTAAAACATGGCCACCCACATCGTCAGGGTGGGCTCCTGGCTGCCTTGTTTGTGCAAGCCCCTCCAGACCCAAGATAGACCAGGTTCCTCATCTTGAGAACGGGGGTGAAAGCAGGAGAGTGAGAGAGACTGGGGGGGTGGAACTGTCACGCGTGGACTAGGCTGCTATGAGCAGACACCTGCCCACCACACGGACTTCACACTGGGGAACAATCAGTCCTCTGAAAAGGACGATGGCACAGATACCCAGGGAAGCAAAGAGGAGATGAGGAGAGAACACACTTGCTCCTGGGGCCCAGCTGCATTCCTGCCATGTCCTGTATACTGTTGTTGTAAACTGCTATCAAGTCAGCCCTCAACTCATGGCCATCCTACACACAAGGAAGTCAATGAAATGAAATGCTGCCCACTCCTGAGCCATCCCACGACTGATTGTGGACTGGACTCTTGTGATCCATAGGGTTACATTGGCTGATTTTCGGAAGTAGATCACCAGGCCTTTCTTCCTAGTCCATCTTAGGCTGGAAGCTCTGCTGAAACCTATTGAGTATCAGAGCAACACATAAGCCTCCAATGACAGACAGACTGACTGACAGACTCTGCATGAGGTACACTGGCCGAGAATCTAACCCAGGTCTTGCACATGGAAGTCCCCATTTTTGCGGGAGTTGGTTTAAAATATCACCAAAAGGAATTCAACCAGCCCTCTTCCCAGAAACCAGAAAAGCCCACACCAGAATGTTCCATGGACAACCTTCATGATCTGTGCGTCTTTCCTTTCCCTTCCAAGCTAAGCTTGCAGAGCCACTCACTGAATTAACACAAAAGGAAGAAAACACTGAACTGAAGATGATCCCTCTCCACACACAAACTCTCCACCTAAATTTGTCTCCCACAGACAGTTTGGGTTGTTTCTTCATTTTTATCATTATATCCAAGATTCAGGGAGACTGAGAAAACGGAACTCCAGAAACATCACGACACGGTTCTCTAAACCTGAGCCAACCAATATAGTAGCCACTCGCCACACATGGCCGCACATGAAATGTAGTTAGTTCCAGTTCAGATGTGCTGTAAATGTAAAATACACAATGAATTTCCAAGGCTTACTATGAAAAACGAAACCCTGATGGCACAGTGGTTAAGAGCTACAACTGCTAACCAAAAGGTCGGCAGTTCGAATCCACCAGGTGCTCCTTGGAAACTCTGTGGGTAGTTCTGCTCTGTCCTATAGGGTCACTACAAGTTAGAATCAACTCGATGGCAACGGGTTTGGTTTTTAGTATGAAAAAAGAACGTAAAATGGTTCAATATTTTATACAGGTTACACGTTGCAATGACAATATTTTAACATACTGTGTTCACTAACATGTTATTCAAATTAATCTCAGCTCTTTTCTGTTTTCAGGCTCTTAATTCTTTGTAGCTCGCACTGTATTTCTATCGGACAGTGCAGAAACTACAGGCTTCGGCAACCTCTCGAGGAGCTGACAGCAGTGAACACGTGAGGACACTGTCCCCAAGCCTAACTGTCAGCTGCCTCAACAGAGGCTTCCCGACACATACTCCTGACTTTTCCATCAGCTATTGGACTCCCAGGAGCCCTGGTGGAGCAGTGGTGAAGAGCGTGACTGCTAACCAAAAGGTTGGCAGTTCAAATCCACCAGGAACTGACCTATTTTCTGGAAATATTCTGATGCTCTAAAGAAAACACGTATAGCAGTCAAAGAACACAAAGGGAGACAGACCCCATCAGGTTGGTCCAAGACAATACCACCTTGCAAGGACATGGGAAGGAAAGGACAGCTGAAAATGAAGCAAAGACGTGGGAAGCAATTTGTTTCCAAGCACACACAGACCAAAAAAAGGGGGAAGAGGGGCACTAAAAAAATCAACTCTGCCTCAACAACAATAAATAAAATAAACTATTAAAAATAATAAAACTGCAGAAAAAACAATCCACTGTGCAGTGAGTGTCTACTGTGCCCCAAAACAGCTTGGGAGTTTGTGAAAACTACAGAGTCCAGGAAAATAGGAATCTTGACCAAATATCTGATAATATTAAGAAATTATTATTACATTTCTAAGCGTGATTATAATAGTAATATGGTTATGTTTAAAAGGAAAAAAAAGAGTCTCTATTGTTGACAAATAAAATGATCTACTGACTGGGACTGGTTTCAGAGTAATCCAGTGAGGGTGAAGGGAAGGAAAAGATACAAATGAAACAATCTCAGCCAATTGCTGGTAACTGTTCAACTGGACGCCCAACAATGGGCACACAGGTTTCATTATACTGTCCTCTACTTTTGTATGTATTTGAACATTTCTCTAAAATTTTTTTTTTTTTTAATGAAGTAAGAGAACTCACTACTTAAAAGAAAACATGGCAATGAATTATTCTGCGAAGCAAAGGGACCTTTTGGAATATACAAAATGAGTTTCTTCTTATTCTGCTTTTCCAGACTTCTACGGAATGGGTTGCCACTCTGTGCCAATAAAAGTAAGTATTTTAAAGAAAATTTAAAACAGATTTCTCGGCCACGCTCGCAGACATGCCAGGGTGCCCACCATGCCACCTGACTACTCTTCTGCTCGAATACCCACCTGTGCTATCAGTGGTGCAGGTTTTTTGGACGGAGGATGCATTCTTTCCACAGGACAAGGTGGTGATGCTGATGTTATACGAGGTACAAAAATTCAAATGTGTGACTTCTGCCATGCAGCTGGTGCCGTTCTCCAAGGAGCAGTTCTCTAGGCACGTCATGTTGTCACAGGCTCCACTGCTGACCTCCAGCTTAAAGCCAGCATTGTTGCCGGGAGGGAGGGCCCACGTGAGGACCAAGGTTGGCTCTTTGGGGACTGGCTCACAGCTGAAGTTCACCGGTGCGGCATCTGCAAGGCAAGCACAGCACCACATGAGATTCTGGAATTTCTGCCTTTGCAAACACCAAAGCACGGGGAGCAGTAAATCCTGGCCCATTGGTGATGAGCAGGCAGACATATGGTGTGGTGGAGGAGTCAGAGACTGACCCTGAATCGGGCAACACCAAGCTGTGTGACCTTAGGTCAAGAAGTCCCTGGGCGGCACAAAGCGTTAAGTGTTTCACTACCAGCAGAAAGGTTGGAGTTCTGAGCTCACCCAGAGGTGCCTCAGAAGACAAGCTGGGTGACCAGTTTCCAGAAGGTCACAGCCTTGAAAACCCTGTGGAGCACAGTTCTACTCTGCACACAGGGGGTAGCCAAGAGTCAGAATCAACTTGACAGCAACAAACGACAACCCTGGGTCAGGTACCCAACTGCTCTGGGCGTCGACTGCAAGACTATTTGAGGATTAAATGAAAGAATGGGTGTCAGTCACCAAGCAAGATGCCGGGAAAGAACAGGGGCTCCATGAGCAGAAGCTGGGTCATATCGTGAGTGGTAGCAACTTCACCTGCATCATCTCATTCTGGGCCTTTCAACCATCCTTCTCTAACAGGAATGGTTAATACTATCCCATTTTGCACATCAATCAGTTGAGGCTTAGAGAGTGTATTAGTTTCCTAGGGCCAAACCAAAAACCAAACCTGTTGCCATCAAGTCCACTCTGAACAAATTACCACTTTATCTGTTGTTGGTTTAAGACAACAGAAATGTATTGTCTCAGTTCTGAAGCCTAGAAGTTCAAAGTCAAGGCTGTCGGCAGGGTCATGCTCCCTCTGAAGGCTCTAGGGGAAGATCCTTTCCTGTCTCTTTCCAATTCTGGTAGCCCCAGGCATTTCTTGGCTTGTGGGGACATGATCCCAGTCTCTGCCTCCATCTTCACATGGCCATCTTCCCACTGTGTCTGTCTGTCTCTGTGTCTCTTCTCCTTTTTATAAGGACACCAGCCATTGGATTAGGGCCCACCTTACTCCAGTATGATCTCATGTTAACTAATTACATCTGCAAGGACCTTATTTGCAAATAAGGTCATATTCAAAGGTACCAGGGATTAGGACTTGAAAATATCTTTTGGGGCTATATAATTCAACCCATAACAGAGAGGCTAAGTAATTGGCTGAAAATGACACAGCTGGCAAGTGGTGGAGACCAAACAAGGTTCTAAACCCAAGTCCAGGGCACTTTCCACACACACAACATACTGCATAATCAGTGTAACTGGTGGGATCAGTTTCTTCATCTTTCAAAAGGGGTGTTATTTGCCCCATCCTTACCTCCCAGAGTTTTAATGAAGACCAGTATCACACTGATAGAATAGATATGGCAGTGTTCAAGAAAGACTCCAATAATCGGAACTATGAGCAGAAGTACCCCTAACCCATCTGCAAAACATTCCCCAGGCTACTCCTTGAAAGTATCCTCTGTTAAAAATAGAGGAGTCTTCCCTCTATCATACTTTTTGCATTGTGAGATTGGCAAGGACCAGGAAGGGCAAAAAAGTTGAGCATCCATTTTAACACTATCCTTTCCACCTTCAACGCAAAAGCCAAACTATAAACTACAAGGCCCAACATCATCCATGCCCCCACCCATTACCTCTCAGGCCTCACCTCCTATCCTCATCCTCTAGCTCCTGTGGATCCACTCCTGCCACCCTGAGCTCCTGCTCTTCCTCCAACACAGCAGGCACACTCCAGCCTCAGGGCCTTTGCACTGGCTGCTCCCTCAGCCTGGAATGCTCTACCTCCTGACATCTACAGGGCTGGCTCCTTCAAGTCCTTCAAGTGTTTGCCCAAAAATCATCTTTCCACTGAAGCCTTCACTGGGTGTCCTGGACAACAAACATTTCATTTCTCTCTTCACTGCTTTTCCCCCCTCTCCTTAGCACTGATCATTTATCCAATAAATTTGTTATTTATCTTCATTAGGGACTCTGGTGGCACAGGGGTTAAGAGCTCAGCAGCTAACCAAAAGGTTGGCAGTTCGAATCCACCAGCTGCTCCTTGGAAACCCTATAAGGCAGTTCTACTCTGTCCTATAGGGTCTTACGAGTCAAAATTGACTCGACCGCAACAAGTTTTATCTTGTTTATTATCTGTCTTTCTCATTAGAATCAAAGCTCCAGGAAGTCAGGGAGTTGTCTGTTTCATTTAACAGTGCCTGGCATATAGTAAGTGCTCAACAAATAGCACATCAACACAGCACTAACAAGCTAACAGGCTGTCTCAGCGAGCTCAGTGTTAATTATTGCAAAGGACACAGAACCTAATAACTAAAGACTGTACAGGTCCTGTTCGCAAGGTCAACAGCACATGGGAGGGAGGTCAAGAGGCAGCTGGGGCTACTCACCTGTACAGAATGACGCAGAGCTAGATGCCCCCTCAGTGACATTCCCAACTTGTGCGAAGATCTCTACTGTGTAAGATGAGCCAGGTATTAAACCACAGACTGTAGCATAGGTGGTTCCAACACCTGTGATGTTTTCTACTGGGTTGCTGGAATTTCCACTGATAAGAAGGCGGTAAGTGTACGTGCTAGAGGCGTTATCAAAGTTCTGCCAACTAAAGGCTGCTGCTGTGGTAGTGGTATTTATTTCAATGTTGGACACACTGCTGGGCCCTTTTTAAAAAAAAAAAAAAAAGAAGAAGCAGCAGCATGAATCAGCTTGACTTCCAGGACTATTTTACTTACTGCATCCAAAATACCCCGGCTCCTTTGGAGAAAAGAATGAATAAAACTATTATTTCCTGACTCATAAAATAGAAGCCTTCCCCAAAAGACATTCAGAAAATAATTACACAGATTATATCTCAGAAGAACTAAAGTTTTTCAGGTTTCTTTTAGTACTTTAAGTTTATCCAAAATCTATTTTCGACATATAATTCCCAGTATGTTTTTTAATTGGATTAATGAATAAGAAAAAGAAACTATAAACTACCCATCTTTACCATAAATGTAGGTCAAATATTAGCAAACCACTACCCTCACTGCTATATGCAAAGCTCCTCAACCTGGCAGAATCTTTACGCCAACATGACAGGGTGACCCTCCTCTAGTCTGTATTCCCAAGGAATTAATGGAACAGTTATATTTTTCATTGTCATAGAAACACTTTCTGCGACTAAAGACGATGCCAAGTTCACATAGCTTCTGCAGCGGCACCTCATGAAAACAGCAGACCTTTTGCTGAGGCCAATGTTTTCAAATTAAGCCATTTCAAATTCAGCCTGGAACCGAGAAATACAATCAACCCTTATCCAATCATTTAACCAACACTTACTTCCCACCCTCCAAGCGAAAATGGCGTCCTAAGAGACTTACGTGTGTATTCTGCGATGGAGCTGGATGTCCCTGGGACATCGCCCATTTCTGGAGTGATTGTGATGTTATATAGGGTGCCTGGCATTAGGCTGCTTAGAGTGATCTCTTTGAGGGGACCAACCGTTTTGTTACAGCTGACCTCAGGCTGTATATCTAAACGGTAGATGTACTGGAAAGTAGTGTCTGTGCTCTCCCACTTCAACTCCATTTCAGTTGTGGTGACACGCACCACGCGGATGCCAAACACCACACTGGACTCTGGGCCAAGAAAAGGAGGAAAAGGAAATCTATTATCAACTGTCATAAAGTCCAGCTTACTTCAAAGTGATTACCTCTGGCTGGTGGTTTACACGTGATTTTTTTTTTCTTTTTGCTTCTCAGTAGTTAATAAAATGAACATGCCTTACTGTTGTTATAAATTGTTTTTCAACATTTTTCTTTGCATAATTAGAAGGAAAACCCGACATTTACCAATTCTACTGATTTCCTTTAAGAAACATCACTGTTTCACTGAAAATACCATCTATTCACTTACCAGTTTGACCTTCAACTGTTTGAGGTGGCCCTTGTGTCCCATTTGGTCCTTGTGGAAATATTTCAAAATGATATTTGGTCCCAGGGTTTAAGCCACCAATGATAATACTATGGTTGGTGGTTGTTTCATTCCGAGGTTCTCCAGCTCCATCCCGTGTGGTAAGTATCTTAAACGAGTCTGAGTCATTGCTACTCCAAGCCAAGCCAATTTCCGTTGTGTTGACACTTGTCACTCGGAAGTCAGAGACTGGACCAGGGGCTGCAGGAAGAAAATAAATGAATAGATTAAGAATCTGTTTCTTTAGTAGATACTAAGATTCTGTTAAGGGTAATAGTATAATTTGAGAAAGATTAAAGGTGACGGTTAAAGAACATGATAAACGTAACTTCATTGAACTGTACACGTGAACATTGTTGAAATGGCAAATGTTTTGTTACATACATATTTACCACAATTTAAAAAAAAAAAAAAAACCCTTAGCAAACCAGAAACAAAAGAAAACTTTCTTTAAAAAAAAAGAGAAGAATCTATTTCTCCAGAAGACAAGGGTGACAAAATGCCACAAAATATTCACACTGGGATTAATTTCAAATTCAAGACACTTGATCTCTCTTTTTCTTCTTTGTGTTGCCACCTACAACACAAGCCCCTCAGAAACCGTGATTCTGCCCATCAAGAGAGCACTTGGCCACAGGACGGCAGAGACTGCGTGCTTCAGAGTCATCACAGGAAATGAGAAGAGGCGTGACCCCGCGGTCAAGGCTCAGGCTCTGGAACAGAACCTTGGCTGCTGCTGGCTGCTTATCCTTGAACACATGACTAAACCTCCCACGGCTACTATTTAGGGAGGTATTGCAGAGGCTGCTGTTCATCCCCAAAATCCATTATCCCCTCTCTTCTCAGTTGTAGATACCCAGATTTTCAGCTGGGGGCTGTTAGCTATGGGGCTGTTAGGGGAAAACAGACTACATTTCCCAGACTCCGTGTCAGCTAGATGTAGCCATATGACTAAGTTCTGGACAACAGTATGTGAGCAGAATTACTGTATGACTTCCAAGGTGAGAACACTTTCTTCTGCCCTTTCTCCTTCCTGCAGCTGGAATGTTGATGTGATGACTGGGGTTCAGGCTGCCATCTTGGGCAACAAGGTTGAAACAACAGGCTGAGGATAGTGTGGTGACAACATCTTGGGTCCTGGAAAGCCTTCATGAACCTATTCATGGTGGGTATAACAATAAAATCAATCTGACCCTGCTTCTTGTGTGTCTTTTTCTACTGCAGAAGCTGCAAAGCTAAAAAAATGCATCTCTTAGAGTTCCTTGTGGCTAGGATTCTGGGTGATTCAGATTCAGGCAATGAGATGACCTCCTCAAGTTGTGAAAGTGAGGCAGAGACCTTGCTTCTGCTGGTCAGCACAGTCATGAGGTGGCACAGGGTCTTTCTGCAGCATCATTACAGGAGCCAGTCATTCACTCTGCAGGTGCAGAGAGCTGGGGCATGAAGCATGCGTCTTCCGCTGGTGCCAATCTCACAGGCCTGGCCTGGCTCTGTGGTGGCTACATCTTCCTGACTCAAGATCGCAGCTAGGAACATGTACTCTTGGAGCCAACAACTACAGCAGAGGCTTCTTAACGCCTACCCTGCTGACTGTGACAAAGATGAGGACAGCCCAGGTGGTCCACTTTAACAGTGTTGGTCTAGGAGTCATTTCTGGTGGCGCAACCAAAGGCTTGCTCCACCCCTTTCCAAGGATTCCATAAACCCTCAATTCCTGGAGTGAAATCCCTTTCAGCTTAAAATAGCCCATAGTTTCAGCTTCCTGCCACAGAGCCCTGGCGAACAATCCACCATCTCCATCCTGCCTAGTACCCAACTGCTTTTACGTGAGAGAGAAACAAACTCCTGTCTTGTTTAAGCCACTGGTATTTGGGGTTTTTTGTACTCACAGCTGAACCTGAACCTAACAGAGAGATTAAACAGTAAAAGAATGGTGAAGAAGTAAAAGCAGACTCCATTCTCCCAAAGAGCTAATCCAGAAGACGTTTGAAAGAATGTTAAGATGCACATCCTGGGAAGAAACAGACACCTGAATAAAATATTCTTATGGGACAAGCCCTGGCTCCTGAGTCAGATATTCCTGGGCTCAGGTCCCCACTCCGCAGCTTACTAGCTCTGTGGCCTTGGGCAAATTGTTCAGCCATGCTGGGCTGTCTCTTACCTGTAAAACCAAAACAACCCAAACCAAACCCATTGCCATCAAGTCAATTCCGACTCACATCGACCTTCTAATACTTACTGTGAAGGTCACTACAATACAAGCAAAGCTCCTGGCACAGTGCTAAATGCATGGCTGATCTCCAATACCTTTATTCTATCACACTACTGTACTACTCAAAAAAACTCATTGTCATCCAGTCGATTCCGACTCATAGCAACCCTATAGGACAGAGGAGAACTGCCCCATAGAGTTTCCAAGGAGCG